AACAGGATTCATTTCCTAGGTTCTCATGAGGCATGAGGGAGAAAGTGTGTCTAAAGCACCTGGCACACAGTAGGCTTTTCAATGATCTCCTGTTCCCATGTCATGGTTTCTCTGTGCCCTCAGAAGAGCATGGGACTGAGGGTGTGTGAAAGCTCTGCTTCAGCAACTCAAAATGAAGGGCATCTCAGAGCTAACCCAGGACCCACATTCTGAACCATTGGCAAGTGGAGCAGCTACCCAGGGAAGCTCCAGGTTGGCCCAATAATAGACTGAATCTGATGAAATTAGAATGGAGCCAGGCCAGCTAGAGAGAAGACAGTAACTAGAAAGTCAGCAGCCTGTCATGAAAACTAAATGGCCCCATCTAGGACAGTAAATAACAATCTGGAGACTCAGGGCAGCATGAAATATCTTTCCATCTATGCAAGCAATTTACTTCTTGACAGGATCAACATTTTCATGTCTCCACTAATGCTAGCAACTGCCACTAAGAAAAATTAAACCTCATGGTTCTTTGAAGCCATTGTTTAGGTTTCTGTTACTTAGAGCTGAATATAAACACAAACCAACCCAAGATGGGGGTGATGGAAAAGAAGGTTCTAGAAATGGAGTAGCAAAATCAATCAAAGAACCAAAGATGTGAGAATGAAAACTTGGTTGGAAGAGATGCATCACTTGGCAATCTGCATTTTGTGGGGAGACAGAGCTTTTATGAACATCCAGAACTCATTTGCATACATCCCTGGGCCAAATGGGTATCTCAGGGAAAGAGAAGTCACAAGTAGCCTGATTGAGTGGCCAGTGCAAGTCCTATGTGCAAATTAACACTTTGGGCATATCAGGCTATTGATAATGATCTTTATTTGCCTGGCTTGCCCATCCAGGTTGGATCACACCTAGGGGCACATAGTATTGCCAGTTTCCTAATATAATCTAATTTTAAACATATTACCATCATTCTGGATGTAACAACATGCTCTTAGTTTTCCTTTCATAATATCCCGGATGGAGTCCACTTGCCTTCCTGGAACCAAGCCCCCGTCGGGCAATGGAAAAACCAAAGCTTGAAGCCACAGCCATCTGCTTAACCCAGCACCACTAAGCAGTTGGAAGACCTTGACCAAGCCACTTAAATACCCTGTGCTTCAGGTTTCTCATCTGTCAAAAGACAACAGCCTCCTGACTTCAGTGGATTGTCATAGAGCATGGCGGAAAGGGCTTAGCACAAGGCTGATCACGCTGCAGGCAAAGAACTAATGAGTGGTACCTAGTCCCTGCCTTGCCAACTCCCCTGTCTCCCCTCGCTGCTCATACTAAATTGGCTCTGAGTTTTACCTGCTCTTTTAAGTCTGACATCAAATCAGGAATTCTCCACTTTGAAACACTTCCATATGTGGACTCTGCCCGTGCTAGAACCTGAGATTGCTTTCCCGTGAATCAAGTGATGAGTTTGGCCCTTTCCTCTCTGCTCCCTGAGTTCCTGAGCTATCACTCATGATTGCTACTGGTCAGCATCCCCCACACTCTGTGAGGCCCTGAGGTTAGGACCCTGTTGTGTCTGTTGTTCTATCTCCAGCCCCTAGGACAGTTCTTGATCCATAGTTAATGCTCACGGACTTGTGGAATAAGTGAGTGAATGAATGAAGTCCTTGAGCATCACACAGGTAGCGTGAAAATGTCCTAATAAAGTACTTGGTGCAGGCAAAGGCTCAGAAAACTTTTGTGGAACAAAAACATTTCAGTCCTACCTTCCCAGCTTTGGTGACTGTAATTGCTATGAATTCTTACCACTTCCTTTTCTTTTTTTGAGACATAGTCTAGCTCTGTCACCAGACTGGAGTACAGTGGCGCAATCTCGGCTCACTGCAACCTCTGCCTCCTGGGTTCAAGCAATTCTCCTGCCTCAGCCACCCAAGTGCCACCACGTGCCACCACACCTGGCTAATTTTTGCATTTTTAGTAGAGACGGAGTTTCACCATGTTGGCCAGGATGATCTCGATCTCTTGACCTCGTGATCTGCCAGCCTCAGTCTCCCAAACACTTTTTCTGCAAGAGAAGTAACCAGGGCAGCACAGAAACCCCTTAGAGCTATACAACCCTGTAACTATATTTTATAATAGCTCCATTCTTTCACAAACCTTCCTCCTTCCTGACCTCCTCAAGGGAGGGAAACTGGGAGCATTATCGAAATATCAGTACCTTATCTCTGAAAAAAACATTTTTCCCTGGCTGGCCAACTTGAGCATAGCTAAGCACATTTAAGAGATTACAATGGAACCTTGAAATTACACCTTTTAACAGTGACAGCTACCACCACAACTGACATTAACAAGCTCCAGGATGTGCCAGGCAGTGTCCTAAGCATTTTGTTTATCAGCTCTTCCCAACAACCTTATGACAGAGGCAACATCAACATTTTAGTGATGAGAAAACCAAGATACAAGGTGTTTAAGAAACTTGCCTAGAGTTACTAGTAACCGATGAAGCTGAGATTTGAATCAAGGCTATCTAATCTAGAACTGGAACCTTTTTTTTTTTTTTTTTTTTTTTTTTGGTTTTTGTGATGGAGTCTAGCTCTGGCACCCAGGCTGTAGTGCAGTGGCACGATCTCGGCTCACTGCAAGCTCCACCTCCCGGGTTCACACCATTCTCCTGCCTCAGCCTCCTGAGTAGCTAGGACTCCAGGCACCTGCCACCACGCCCGGCTAAGTTTTTTTTTGTATCTTTAGTAGAGACGGAGTTTCACTGTGTTAGCCAGGATGATCTTGATCTCCTGACCTTGTGATCCGCCCGCCTTGGCCTCCCAAAGTGCTGGGATTACAGGCGTGAACCACCACTCCTGGCCTAGAACTGGAACTCTTAACCACTGAGGTATACCAAAGTTTATTATTATTATTTTGGCCCCAAAATTGGGTAACACTGATCCAATCAAAAGACTTCTTAGTTTTTGGATTACTGAATAAAACTCCTGAAAGTACAATTTCACATACATGTCACCCCCCTTCCCCCAACTGGGTCTCAAAGATAATATCAAAACGAAATTCCACATTAGCTTGCCTAGTCCTATTATGGCCTAGTAAATGTTTTTCTATTTTATTTAGAAGAACTTGTAATCTGGTTCCCACTCTTCTTTCTTTGCATGTTTTACAGAACACATCGTGCTTGCAGAGAGAGCAAACCATGCCTGTCTCTTGTGGAGCCCACAGTGCTGTGTGCTTAGTGCGGCAATTGGGCCAGGAATGAAAACAACTACACCATAGTAACAATCCGTCATTCTGTCCATCTGCTACCCAAGAGGGATCTTAAAATAGTTTCAATTCACCTTTAAAATCCACTGCTCTATGAAGGGCTTGTAACACTTGGCGGCCTTGGAAGCCTGCCTGAGAAACAGGACCGCTATTCGGACTACTGGTGTCCAGCTGTAAGCCTCCTTGGAGGGAAACAAGCCATCCATTCATTGGGCTGTTGTGAAATTTTCCTTCCCCACCAGCCCTCCCAGCCAAGAAGGAGAATACCTGGAGGAATGGCATTCTGGATTTTTGTTCTTCCTAATGTAGGGCCTGAGTTTTTATTTTCTTAATGGCCTACTCTTTTTTTCCTTCCTGTTTAACCCTCTTCTGCTCCAACTCCCCAACCCTACAACTTTCCCTTTCTTTTAACTTTTCTTTCTTCAGCTGAGAGATTGGGTGTGAGTTGAGACTTTACGGTCTAGAATTTCAAAATCGATTCATGAGGTAACTATCCCCAAACCAGCACACTCTTAATTAGGGTAGGAGTAATGAAATGGGAGACTCCCTGGACCCCTCTGTGGGACTTGCAACAGGGGTGTGGCTCATTTGCTTGGCCACCACATGCTCAAATCCCTTATAGGAGGGGAGCATGCAGGTGAGCAGGAGACGGAGCCAGGGTGAGCGCCTTTGGGCTCTGGCCCCATGGCAATGTCTACGAGTATTACAATGCTCTTTTAGCCCTGCTGTCTGGGGATGGCTTAAGTGTTAAATAGCTCAGCGAAGAGTCAGGGTGACAGCCTTTTTGGGTCTCTGCACCCAGTGCATCCCAAATTTTGCCTTGCATCCAGGAAGAATGAGGTTACATGTACTTGAAGGATGGTGAATGCGGGGATCTTATTGGGTGATGGAGGTGGCTCTCAGTGGGATGGGAAGCTGGAGAGGGGATAGAGTGGGAAGATGATCTTCTCCTGGAGTTCAGTCATCCTGAAGCTGATCTCCTCTCCCAATGCCCCCAGCCGAACTCCTCTCAGATGCTTCCTCTCTTCTCTCATTCTCTGCCATGCTGCTCTGCTGCTCTGCCATACTTCTGCTCATGGAGCCTGGGGATTGGGATTTTCATAGATATAGGATGGGGGTGTGGTGGGCCACGGTGGTCTTGGAAAAGGCAACATTTGGGAGCAAAAACAGGAATGCCTATTCCCATTTAAAGCCTCGGGTTTCCAGGCTTGAGGGTGGGGCCTTTGCTGGGGAACCGCCCTCTACTACCTAGTATTTCCTTGCCTCCTGTCCGTATCCGTAGTACGAGTAAAGTGAGACCTTCCTGGGCAAACCCTGACATCTGGTCCCTGGGGTTAACTCTGGCTCCACTGAGCAGCACCAAAGAGCATGGAGATGCTCAGCATGTGGCGGCTGCAGAGAGCATCATCACGCTTTGTTGGCTCCTGGTTCTAGTGCCTAATTGTGTTCTAGATCTTGACAGGGCATAGCCAGTGGGGATTAAAACAGGACAGAAGATTGCCCTTCTTGCTATTTCCATTTTTTAAAAGGTTACATTCTCAGTATTCTAGTAGTCTAACCTATCATATCTCTAGGTGAATTTGAAAGTTAGATTGCAAAATTTCAATCTCACACATTTTTTTTCCATTTTAATTTTCATTTAGGCTGTGAAACCTAGCTTAAAATAAACTTACAGTAGTTTCTGTTTCTTATGGGAGACGACGTAGGCCTTAGATTATTTACTGTCTCTTTCTGAAGAATTTAACTCAAACATGGGTATCAGACCAAATCATACAATTTATATCAACAATGTGAATGACAAAATTAAAAAGGAAGAATTGAAGAGATCCCTATATGCCCTGTTTTCTTAGTTTGGTCATGTGGTGGACTTTGTGGCTTTAAGGACCATGAAGATGAGGGGCAGGCCTTTGTCATATTTAAGGAACTGGGCTCATCCACAAGTGCTTTGAGACAGTCACAAGGATTTACATTTCATGGTAAACCAATGTGAATATATATGCAAAAACAGATTCGGATATAATATCTAAAATGTGCGGCACTTTTGCTGACAAAGAAAAGAAAAAGGGCAAAACTGTGGAATAGACTGCAACCACCACAAACAAAAGGCCTGGCTAGGGAACTTCAAATTCAGCTAATATCCAAGGAAATTCAACACCAAATCCTCAGGTCCTCGATTATCCTCCAAACTATATTTTATTCCTTAATAACTTACCAGAAGAGACTAATGAGATGATGTTATCCATGCTGTTTAATCAGTTCCCTGGCTTCAAGGAAGTATGTCTAGTACCAGGGAGGCATGACATTGCTTTTGTTGAATTTGAAAATGATGGTCAGGCTGGAGCTGCCAGGGATGCTTTGCAGGGATTTAAGATCACAACATCCCATGCTATGAAGATCACCTATGCCAAGAAATAACATTTGGGATAGTCATCTTTAAAGGACTTGGTGTTATTTATAGTGTTTGTTTTGCTAACATTTGGTTGGGTCATTGTAATAGAGATTACGGGGAGTGAAAGTGAAATTTTTGTGAAGGACTTAAATTATCTAGTGTTTCTTTAGCCTTGGTGAACTATGAAATACGAAGGCCTTAATTTTGTACAATAAACTTTTATTTGTATTCTGTGAAAAATAAATAAATAAATAAACTTACAGCTACGTTTCATATGCATTCTTTGGGGATAATGCTATCAGATCAAGAATACCTTACAGGTGTAATTGCATGTATTCTCACTTGTCGCCCACAGTAAAGCCATGAGGTAGGTGGCACAGTTGAATCATTTTTGAACATAGAACATGCCACTTTGATTTAAAATCAAATTATGGCAACTAGAGCTGAGCATGGTGGCTCATGCTTGTATTCCTAACATTTTGGGAGGCCGAGGTGGGAGGATCACCTGAGCCCAAGAGTTCAAGACCAGCCTGGGCGACATAGAGAGACCCTTGTATCTACAGAAAAATAAAAAATTATCTAGGCATGGTGGCACAGCTGTAGTCCTAGCTACTTGGGAGTTGGAGGTGGGAGGATGGCTTGAGCTCAGGAGGTTGAGGCTGCAGTAAGTTGTCATCGTGCCACTGAACTCCAGCCTGGGCAACAGAACAAGATCTTATCTCAAAAAAAAGAAAAACAAAACAAAAACAAAAAACAAACAAAAACCAATAAATTGTGGCAACTAGGAAGAAAAAGGGTATGCAGAATCAATACCATTAAACATAGTCTCACTGATGACTTTTTTCCATACTTTTGGTTAAGTATAAACATATAGATATATCATTCTAAAACATACCATTTGTTAGATGTTTTTTGTTCTGAGTAATCATAGCAAACAGTTATGATTGCAACCAACAGCCATTTGCACCTGTGCCCCTGAGTCCCCCGTCCAAAGCCTTGCCAGCAGAGCCACCTGTATTTAATACTGAAAACACTAGCTTTCCCAGCTCCCCTTGCTGCCATCAGCATCTAGTTAAATCCTGGCGAATTAAACCAGAAAGAAAGTCTTCGCTGGAGCTTCTGGAAAAAAATGGTCCTCTTTAGTTAAAAGATCCATGCAAGGGAAAATTAGTGCCTCTTTCTTTTGGATACAGACTGAGCTGCAGCAGTTCTCTTGCAATGTCAAAGGGACAATCCTGAGGATAAATGACAACTCACTGAAGGTAGCCGAGCAGAAAGATGACAGTCACCTGGGTTATTTTCCACCGCATTAAGCCACTAAGCCAACATTGAAAATACCTACCTCGGGGCTTCTTGTTTTATGAAATAACTAACATCTTTATTTTTCAAACCACATTTAGCATGCTGTTACTTGCATCTAAAAGCATCCTTAATGATTCACCATATAAATGGTATTGCTGTAGTTCACTATCAGACTTAATTTCCTTTTTATAGGAACCTTTTTGTAATGCTTCTTTTAATCTCTTGAAATTAAATATCTAAGTGACAAAACTTACTTCTAAACATAATTTTGAAATTCAGTAGAATGTTCTTACTGGAATATAAATGAGAAATATTAAAAAATAGTTTTAAAGAAGAATATACATTTCAATACGTAAGTGCTTTGGTACAACTACAGCAGAAGACATGATAAAGTAGTCAGAGCTTACATACCTATGTAGCATCACTGTGAATAAAATAGCTCTCACATGTAGCATGATACAGGTGTGCTTCGCTGGTGGCTCAAATCCCAACAGAGATGTAGACGTTAGTATGGAGATTATTCAAAAGGAGAACAGCTCTTGGTAAAGTTCCAGCCAAACAATCTACAGTCTCACATGGACTTATGTGGTAGCTGCATTTTTGGAAAACTCAGTGTACATTTAGAACTGTACCAAAATTACACTGGAACACAGAGTTAGGATCCAGAATCACAGATCTATAAATACATTTTCACCTACATGAATATCTGATGGTACAATTGGGAGTCATGTGAGACTTTGGACAATTCTTGCAATGCAGAATTAACCTAGACATTGCAACATGTCTGGTGTCTTACCCAATAAACACTGACAGTGGCCCCCTAATTATTGTGACAACCAAAACATGCCCCCATAGGTTTAGAAAGCATCCTCTGGGGACAGTCCTGTAACTGTCTCCCTCACCACAGAGGACAATGTCCTGAGGCAGGCACTCTTGGTTGTTTGCTTTGTGTAGATGTCAGAAGCACTCCTTATTTCTGACTCTGCAAGTCTTAGACATGCTTCCATGGGTAGGTAGGTGGAGGGAAACACAGAAGCAAACGGTGGATTGCTTAGGATTGGTGCTATTGCTCAATTTCAAGAGTCACTGGTTCATTGCTTTCTCAGTTTGTGTGCATTTTTTTCAAGAGATCCTCACTATGTGCAAGGAATGATGGTAGACACAGAGCTGACTAAGATTTCCTTCCTGCCCTCAGGGAGGTAGAAGACTAAAATAGAAGCCGAGAAAAGTATCAAATTTTAAGATGGAGCAGGTGTTCTTAGCCTGAGATCCCAGGAATGTGCTTCAGGGCATCCTTTAAAACTCTTGAAATTACAGACAACAATGCATGTATATGTATGTGTGTGTGTGTCTATATATATATTTTTAATAAAGGGTGTATAGATTTAATCACATTCTCAAAGAACTCCAAGACACAATAAAGATTACAGCGGATGCACAGGGCAGGCTGATACACAGGTGACAGCCTATTTGATGGATTTTTGGAAGTTGCCCTCTGCCCCAAATATCTCTTTTACTCATATTTCTTACACTGAACTTCTGTCAATAGAGATTCACGCCAATGCATGGATCTCTCCGAGACTGACGCTCCAACAACTTTCAAGAAATGTCTATTGAGCTTCTGCTGACAGGCACTGAACTAAGAACCGGGGATGCAGCAGTGAACAGAATGGAGCTTACAGCCTGGTGAAGGAGTTGGAGTGGGAGCAATATGCAAATACGGGGAGCATTGAGGGGCAACTTGACCCCAAGGCAGTGGAGAGGTTCTCAGGAAGAGATAAGCGATCCTGGGCTGTGCTCATGTAGCTTGAGTAACAGCTTCCTGTCTTGTGTGAACAGAGGATCCCAGTTCATGAGGACACTGCCTTGGGCCTGAGGCCACTGCCTTGGGCCTGTGGACGTGGGCCGGCTGCTGAGGCGGGAGGTGGAAAGCCTCTTCCAGCATTGGGCCTCAGCCGTGTCTCAGTTTTGCTTGGGTTGGCCTCTGGGGGAACAGGTGGGCCTTGCAGGATGACCCTGATAGCATTATCTGCATTTTGGTGTGTATTTAAGATTCCAGTTCACACGGGCTTCTAGTCGTATGTTGCAAGAGTGTTTGTAACAGACTGCAGACTCTCTGGGATTGAAGGATGAAGGGGGAGGAAGGTTTATAACCTGGAAACTATGTGCTGACTGTGGCCCTGTTGGGATGCAGTGTGGTTTCTATGGGGTTCCTTCTGGACCTCATACATTTCAGTTTCCCCTGGAACAAGGCCTTTGCTGAGAAGGAAAACATACATTGGCCATGAAAATGCAGAAGCGCTCCCTGGATTGCTCCAAGCAGCTCTCTAAGCCGAGGCTTAACTTGTCCTGAGGCCATCTTGTCTTTGGAAACCCTAACCAAGCAAAACACAGATCTTTTTATGCCTTCCCTTTCTTTACACAGACATTGACTAGAAAGGAGCAGGAATAACTGCCAATTCAGTAGGCTCCTTGCTCTTTTGTGCGTTTTAAAGGCATTTGCTGTTTGGGATTTGGAAGAAAATCATGAGAACTGAGAAGCTCTGGCTGTCTTGGCGGGAAGCAGGCTCATTGTTTGCAGAGAGAGCTGGTTTCCATGGTTTTGGACTACAGACAGCTGCGTGTTTTTTTTTTTTTCTTTTAAAGAGTAGTTTCTACTTGCAATTGGATCTAATAAATAGTCAAGGTAGCCAGTCTCCCAACAGCAAAAGGTCTTTGAGTTATTTGGAAACACCCTAGTATGTTATCATTTATGACCAACTGTACCTGGTTTTTAGTTATTAAAAGTCATGCATTCTCTCAGGATAAGGCCTGTTTGGCCCAAATTCTGCTGTATCAAGGGCAGCCAATTATATTTCAGGCTTAAGGTTCTAGTCTTAAAAGTAAACACATTCCTCTCTTTTAAATGACAGGAGACTTGGGATGGTCTGGGATAGGAACGCAGGGTGGGGACCTGCAGTCCTGCAGGCCTGAGAGGCAAGTGCTGGAGCTGAGGCCATGGGAGACGCATGGCTTCCCCTCTTCGCCTAAGCCCACCAGCACAGCAACCATATGGCGCAATGTAGGGAAATCAACACGTGAAAAGTGGCCATTTTACTTCTATCACTAAAGTAGGACACAGGACAAACTTTTGCTTTTTTTTTTTCATGACCTATAAGGAAGAACAAATTAAGCTAAAATGAAAATAGCATTTTTCAGCCAGGCACAGTGGCTCAACCTATAATTTCAGCACTTTGGGAGGCCGAGGCAGGCGGATCACTTGAGGTCAGGAGTTCAAGACCAGCCTGTGGTGACACCCCATCTCTATTAAAAATGTATCTCATGCCGAGGCACAAGAATCGCTTGAACCTGGGAGGTGGAGGCTGCAGTGAGCTGAGATGGTGCCACTGCACTCTAGCCTGGGTGACAGAGCGAGACTTCATCTCAAAAAAAAAAGGAAAAGAAATAACTTTTTTTTTTTTTTAAATTGGGACACTGGCTTGGAATTTAGAAGGATCAGGTAATGAATTTAACAATTTCCACTGTTAGTAGCAATATTAAAGCAATTATAGGGTCCCTTGTATCTCAAGCAGCAGGCTTGGCGTAGTGAATGGAGCAGTGCAAAAGTCTAGGTCTCACCATATGCCAACATTACCTGTGGCCCTTACAACCCTTTAGCAGAAACCTATACTCTTTCTAAACAGGGGTGAACTGTGTGCTTATGCTTAAAACAGCTAATGTTGTCACCAAAAATCTTTTGTCAGATGTTATGTTCTTTTCTCCCTTTCCTGAACTTACGGCTGGTATTCTAGCTTACTTTTTATTTTGTTGGCTTTATTGTCATTGGTCCTTTTGTTGCTGTTAGATTTTCTTCTGTCTAGATCTTACTTTCCAACTGGATTTTTAGTCCTTTGGGATCAGAGACTACCAGATCATTTAATTTTCTAATGTGTT